AAATGTATGAGTGGAACCAGTGCTAGTTTTCTGATTATCCACATCAAAGTGATATAGATAGAGAATAAAGGAGTTTAATGGTATTAATATTTATGTATAGATTGGTATGTATGCAAAATGTATATAATGAAGCATCATGCGAAAAAGAATATAAATATAAAATGAGCAATATAGATGTTATGTCATGCATCTATGTGAGATAAATGTTTATAATAGTAATAGTAATATATAGTGATAACAGAATACAACAGAATACAGTAGCATTGTATAAGAAGGACGGGACATGATATACTACAATAAGATTATATTACTGTGCAGCAGGATATTGAAGGGCTTCTTTAACACGGGGCACTCATCGCTTTATTAGCTCTGTTGAACTAAACATGTCTCTTGGATGAGAGCATCTCATCTTCAGCTGCCCTTGCTTCGCTCCTCCAGATATTCTCACTGCTTGGCTTTGAGAATTTAACATGAAGTCACAATATTTCAAAGTCTAACTTAAGCTTTTTGTAACAGAATCAAGACGGTTATTGATTTGCACAAGGGAGAGGTGTGATGCTCACACTCGTATTAAAGAAATAAATACTACACTGAATTACTTCTTCAGACTTCTGTGCAGTAATTGCTCTGCAGCTTAGGGCACGGTTCCTACTGGCGGAAAGTTACAGTACATTTACTCAACTACTGTGCTGAAGTACAATTTGAATATACTTACGTATTTGCATTTCTCTCTAGCCTTCTACTTCACTCTGAAATGTTGTTCTCTTTACAGAACTACCTTTATTTGGCAGCTGGAGTTGCTCTTTACTTTTCAGATTACTCATTTAAAAAAAAACATGTGATGAGCTTATAAAACACGATGCTTTGTAAGCGATTGAACCAGTGACTCCTGACCTTTTTTGGCAGTAAAATCTGCCCTCCTCACAACTCCTCTTTTTTCTTTTTTTTTACTTCAACTTGAATAAGATTTTGAATGCAGGACTTTTTTTTCTCACAATAGAGTATTTTACATTGTAGTTCTGGTGCTTTTTACTGAGGTAAAAATTCTGAACACTTCTTCCATCATTGGCAGCTCCTGACCCTGTCCTGGCTGGACGCAGATGCCCCCCCGTCTCCCTCTGAACACAACTCTCTGTAGTAAACTTCCTGTCACAAATATCTGTCTCTCGGGCGCTGTTACGTAGACATCTTGACAAGTGTTTGCTTTGATTCTTTGACTGTTTGGCCCTTCTGGACTGGATTGAGTTGAGTCTAAACAACTTGTTTTTCCCGTTGGAAAAGTAAAATAGATGCATAAAGGTGGAAGAGAGACGTGTAGAAGAGCAGGTGAATGAGAAGATGTTAACCGTGCAGTCTGGTATCAGATTACAACGCTGTCTACTTAGTGGTGATGGCTTTTGTTGCCACCAGATGACAGTATTTATCCTC